TTGATAATGTCATAGAAGGGCCCTGAAAGAGACGAGCTCCTAAGGTGAGCTCTCCTGTCCTGTACGCTCAACAAGGAGCAAATACTTCCCTTTGAGCTAAAAACTCAGTGGCAAAAGTTGACAAAATCTTGTGGGGCTTCTTTGGCTTTCCAGTCACGTCAAGGAACACTGAAGTCCTGTCAGACACCAGGCGCAATGTAGCTTCCTAATTAGAATATAAACGTACACCATTACTTTACCCAAAAGGCACTTCCAAGAATCAATTTGAATTCTCTACAAAATTTCTAGCTACCTATATTACTTGGTGCTCTTCAGGAAAACAGAATCAATAATACCTAGATATAGAGATTTAGAGGTCATGGGGATTTACGTTTTCTATATAAAGAAATGGAATTTCTCCACAATTGTAGGCCCTGACAGGTGTGAACTTCACAGGGCCGGGCAGCAGGCTGGAAGCATGGACCAGCAAAGACTCTGCCATGTGAAGGGGGAAGTGTTTCTCAGAGAAACCTCAGAGTTCATTCTTGAGGCTTGTAACTCCTTAGATAAGGCCGATTCTCATTATCAAAGGCCATCTACTTAAAATAAACTATCAGTGCTGTTAACCACATTTACAAAATACTATCAGAGCAACACCTAGATTAGTGTGGATTAAATAACTGGCACAGCATCCTATTAGTGTCTGCCGTATTCCACAGAAGCCAAAAGCAGGCACATTGATTTTAGAGACATTTGTCTTCTACAATTGGCATTTACTGATCAGATTTTAAATTCTAGACCAGCTAGAGGCCAGAAAGCTGTCGGTGGGTGGTTGTTTATTCAGGATGGTTTATAAAGGCTCACTGTAATTAATTTTTATTGGACAGAAGCAGAAGGCTGAAAAAGTGAAAGGGGGTAATTTCACAAGTCAAAATAACAAATAAGTAAATACAAATAGTCCCAGCTTCCCAAGAGCAGTTCAGATCTCCAGGTCTTGCCTGGGAGTAAAAAACAGACCCTGGGCCCTGGGTCTGCAGCAGCCCTGAATCGCAACCACTCCTTCCCAGCCTTTTCTAGGAAGCCATCCAGGTCTCAACTGCCCCCAAGCTCAATAAACTACCTCCCTTCCTAGACACTCCCCAATGCAGACACATCCATGCTCACATGCACGTACACACATGCACGCACACAGGAGCAATTTTAGGGCTGTTGTCAATCATATGAAAGAGCTAGATTTAGGGTGTTGAAGCAGTAACGCCCAAAGACTCAAGATTTGCTGCCAGCTGGCTGGGGAGAATTCCGTCATGGCTGTACTGGTTGTGAACAATGAGACCTCTGCCCCAGGTCCTTTGTTCTGCTCCACCACTGAGCTGTGGCCCTGAGCAGCGCGTGTGTGGGATATTAAGTCCAGGAGACGCTGCAGGCAGGTTATGTGGCAGCCAAGGGCCCCAGGGCTCTGAGCGTCTGTGTGGACAGGACAGTACAAGGATGAACAAGACTGAAGGCCCTGTGCTGGGCTATGAGGGGTTCTTTCCCAGACGGTGAGGAGCTAAAGGGAGGAAGCCTTGACCTCCAAAAGGCAGGAAGCCCCATATTAGGTTTCAGGAGAGTCTTGAGTAATGACCAGTGTAGGTTTTTCACGGAGGTCTCATTTATCTGGGTGCCAGTGGGTGAACCCAGCTTCCGAAGCTTGAAAATTTAGATTTATTGGATGCCAGAAATTGGACTGGACCCCATTTAATAGGCGCATGCACCATGAAGGTGGGGTGGGGGATAAGAGTCAAGAGGGCTGAGCTGATGGTGAGGGGTCTCACTATGAGGAAAAACAGCAAAGTTTGATTAGCACCATAAAATTCTAGCTGCAGGAGGTGGGGTATACAAGACTTAGAAGGGTTTTGAACAGAGCTGAAATCAGATAAATCTATGGGAAGACAGAGGTAGGAGAGGAAATAGATTCTCTGAACTTGGGGGTGGAGAGAGAGACGGGGTACGGAGCAGCCACAGGTCTCTGAAGTCTGCATGAAGACAAACCTGGTATTAGAAAAGGTAGGTGGACTTTAAAAGCCTTTTGCTAGCTTCAAAAAACAAGAATCATGTATCTGGTTCAGACTTTCACTCTGAAACAGAAGGAACGCTTTGGGATTTAGGGAATGTGGATTTACATAGAGAGGCCCTGGACTGTATAAATGCTTGAGCAGTTTCTAGTCTGAAGGGAAAGGCAGGAGGAGGTACGTTTGCACAAGGAGGTGGGGCTGATATCTAGACCCTGGGATCTGTGCCTCATTCCCCAGGTGAACGTGGGAGATGTATATCCTCTTCTGGAACCTCCAGATGTTCATGTTCATGTATTTTCCCCGTTGGGGTAGGAGAAGCAGTGTAACAATGGGGATGGTATCACAGGTTTTGGGACATTTAACCAAAAAACTATGTTATGCTACACAGCTGATCCAAGTCTCTACTAATAGGTAAATGTTCTTTATTATGATTTATTTGTAGAAGACACTGCACTAGATCCACAGATTTAGAAGGACATAACATTCATTTACCCACTTATTCAAGAAAAATCTGAGAGTAAAGCAAGATAAATAAGACCATGTCACTTCTCTCAAGGGAATTCCATCTCTGCAGGGTGAGAGAGACAAGTAAGTCCCCATGTACATTACTCTGGAGAACGAAGGTAGGACAAGTGAATCAGACAGGAGAATAGTGAAGACTTCTTAGAAGAGGTGACGGTCACACTCATGTTGTGGGCACCTGGAGCTTAGTGGTCTGCTGAACACTGCATTTCTCAGCTTGAGGTGCATGTTACTATACAAGTATGTGTGGGGGAAGGTCTGGATTTCTGATGATTGTATTTGTATCAGTTTTCCATTATGAAATAGTTGAGGGTAGAATATATAAAGAAAAAAGATTTATGTAGCTCACAGTTTTGGAGGTTCAAGAGGATACCACTAGCTTTCACTTACCTCTGGTGGGGCCTCCAGGTGCATGGTGTCACACCAGTGAGAGTGTTTGTAAGAGGCTAGGGATTTAGCTCAGCAGCATAAGAGCCTGCCTTGAAAGCGCAAGGTCATGAGTTTGATCCCCAGTACTGAAAAAAAAGAGTGTTTGTGAGAAGGAGAGAGCCCGTCTCAAGACAAGAAGCCAGAGGGAAGGAGAGACAGAGAGACAGAGACAGAGGGAAGGAGAGAGACAGAGAATGAGAGAGAGACAGACAGACAGAGAGACTTACTCTTATTACAATAACTCACTTTCCTGAGACCTAACTTAATCTGTGAGGCTAATGTTAATCTCTACTGAAAGCAATAAGGAACCAAACATCTAACAGCTGATTGCTTGGGAAGCACACTCACACTCAAACTCTATCCAAATGCTCAGCAGCCTTTGTGGCTAGAACTGGATACATCTCCCTTGTAAATAATGCAAGCATGTTTCATGTCATAATTACTTTTACAAGCTATTCTTCTTACACAAGGACGCAGAGCCTCAAAATCTGTGGCTATTTATTGTACGTTCATTTATTACTTTCTCTCAGTTGTGTGATGAATTTTATATCTTTGCATATGACCCCAAAGTGAGAGCCCTAGGCCCAAGATAGTTAGATGAGGTCTTAAAGAAATCAGACTGTGTGCGGGGTGGGGAGTTAGGGGGGGAGTAGGCCTCACAAGGAGGTGATCCCTACCTAGAAAACATACCATTTTCATTGCTTTCTTGGGCTGGGTTTGGTTTTCTTTTGTTCTGTTTGATTATGTTAAATCTGATGGCATGAGCAGTTATTTAAAATACAGCAAGGCATATTATGGTAGCCATTTTGGATTTGCTATTGGCTTGTTTTGAAGTCCTTTATTGCATTCATTGTTTTGTTTGTACTGTTCCTATTCTATTCAGTTCTGTTTGAGTTTTACTATGTCCAAAGGTGTCTGCACCTATTTTGAAGACAACAAAAGGCATTATGTTAACTATTGCTGATTTTGTAAGTTTTCAAGTCCAGTATCACTTATACTAGTTTAAAAAAAAGAAATCAGACTGTAGAAAAGTTAGAATTTTAATAAAAGTTGAAATCCACAGCCAGCAAGAGACATGAAGCTGCATTCACAAATACAAAGGAAACATCGCCACAGAAACACTTGGTGTAAAAAGTGCTGGTAAAAACTTTGCATCCCATTGTACAGATGTAAAGACAGTGGCAGTGTCTGTGTTTGTGCATCTGAATGCACACATATACACATGCATATGCAGATAGCGTGGAGTATTTATATTGATATAGGCATGTACTAAAAGAAATTGCAAACTGCGAAGGTAATGCCTTTTCACAGTTTCTTCCTGTTTCCTGTCTCTCTACTTATTTTATTCCCCACAACACTCATGACATTGGGGACTTCACCCCCTCATCGCGTTACTCCTTCTACACCCCCAGGAAAGTTTACCTGATAGCCCTGCTCCACGTAAATACCCTTCCTGCAAAATATTTTAAATGGTTAAACTAACCTAAAGCTGGAAAGTAAAGCCTCCGTGATATACAGGTTCGGGAGAGAATTAGCAACAAGTTAGGATGCAGGCAAGGAAAACAGAAGGAAGAGATGCTTTTCTTGCTTTCTTGGTCAGAGGAAAGAAGAACAAAGGGGAGTCTGGACGACTGCAGGGTCGGGACTGCTTCTTACTCCCGTAGGCAAGCCCCTCTCGTGTCCTCTTGTTTCTTAAAATGGCCTCAAATAGAGAACATGTCCAGATTGCACAATTACTCATTAGTTGCTTGTGTCTAGGTCCTCAAGGGAGGGTACTAGTCTTCCCGGGGTCTGATGCGGTCACTAGAATATCATAGGTTTTCCATAAAGGTGTTGAGTGCTTTCTAAAGCACTTACCTATTTTGAGTTAGTTTCCTCTCTGACACTGATGAAGTTTGCCCATTCATCCATCCATTTATTTATCTGCTATTCATCGGACAGTCTGCTAGATTAAGTACTGGAGGAGATATATGCATAATCCAGCAACTTAAATATCTTTCCCTGCCTATTGCCCAGAACAAACAGCACATGGCTAGTGACCTTTGGAAGCCGCATGCACAGCCAAAGGTAAGAGATGATTTCTACTTTTGCTTATGACCTGGGCCCTGCCAATGCTGTGCACTCTGCTGGCCACGCAAGGGTTATTTTTGCCAAGTCCTCCCCGTCTCCCTTCTCGAAGCTCCCAGCAGATGTATTAAGTGTAATCTTGGACCCGTTCCAGGTTCTCTCTCTAAGACTCAGAATGTTCAATATTTCCTGCACGCAGCAGGCCGCTCTAGCCTGGCATTGTGCCAGGGACTCTGCTGGGTGCAGCCCCCAAGCATCCCTCATGTCTCAGCCCCAGTCCCAACTTGTCCAGGTTCCACAGGGCTTGCTAGGGAAACGGGGACAAAGCCCGGGTGGCCCCACAGTTGGTAGCCAAGATTACCTGACCTTTCCCCCCTCCCTCCCTCCCTCCAGAGTACCAGCAGAACCATGGCAGTACCACCGCTGGCTGTGAGTCTTCTTGCTAGACCCGTCACGCCTTGGGGATGCAGAGGGGCATCTGGGCTGCCCTGAGGCTGTGGCTGAGTTGACTGTAGAATTAGTACTTTTGAGAGGTTTCCATGGGAAAAATGAAAGGACAGCAGTGAACTGAGTCTCCTGGATGCTTGCTGGGCTGATCTCATGGGAGTCAACCCCACAGGCGGTGCCCGAGATGAAATCCCATCTGCCTGCTGTGACTACTCTGGGTAATGCCTCTTTCCTCCTCTAGCACCAGTACAAATGGCATCCATATCTTCCTCCAAACACTGACCAGAACGGAAGGGAGTCTTTGGGAGCACTTCCATTTGGACCCATGTTACCCTGTTTTCCCTATTTTTAATTAATTTGCATAATCACTTGCACAGGCTGAACACATGTGGCACACTCTGGACTAATGTTTGCATTTAAACAAGAACTGGCTTTGTGCCTTCAAATGTGATCTTTTCCTAACATTTCCATCGCCCTTTGTCTTTCTGTTCATTTATTCTCTGTGCTTTCCTGGTTTTTGTATTTTTTCCAATTCACTCACACTGGTGAGTTACACGATCACTTGAAACCTTCATCAATATTCATGTTCTCCCCAACCACATCAATTCAATTGATCAAATATATTCTGCATTGGAAAAGAAAGGAACTTAGACTTGCTAAGCTCCAATGACATACTGGGAATGGTGCAGAAATCATGAATACAGACAAACAAGCTTATTGCACCTTTAAGCTCCCTGGCAGCCAGTGAGCCCAAGATGGCATTACGTACTTATGTAGTACATATGTTTACAAAGGCATGTTTTAAAAGAGGGTGAGAATGCTGATACCTCTTAAAAGTATGAGGCATAAAACCTGATCGTGAGGAAACACTCCCACAGAAAAGCATGGAAACACAGGGGCTGGGGATTTAGCTCAGCAGCATAAGCGCCTGCCTTGCAAGCAGGCAGTCATGAGTTCGATCCCTGGTACCGAAAAAGACAAAAAAAAAAGGCGTGGAAACACATTCTTTCCTTGGGAAAAGAATTGCAGTACTACATTTCAGTTCAAACTCTGCATTTAACAGACCTTTGTGAAGCTATAACATTTTCTGACTTTATGCTCCTCATTTTTAAACCAGGACAATTGACACAAACAACTACTAACATCTCCTGGCTTTGAAATTTTCTGACTCCTTTGATGACCTTTACTTTGTGACCTGCATCGTGGTACAACTATACTAAATTAGACTGTGGATTCAGGTAAATGTCAGCCACATTAGTGTTTGTTTGTTTGTTTGTTTGTTTCAGTAGACCAGATCCTTGAACTCCTGTCATAATGGACTTCATTTCGACTATTTGGTCTTATAATAATTCTAAGTATATGTACTGCATCCTACTACCAAAATGCAGTGTTCCTTTAAGGACTGGAGGCCTGTGTTATTTGGAAAGACAGACTGTTATTCAGTCTGTAGCCATCCTTACTGGAATCCGCTCAGCCAGAACTCGGGCTGCTTGAGCTAATGAGAGAGACCTTTTAGCAAACCCTGGAGGTCAGCAGATGTGGGCTTTATGGGAAAAGTGAGAGAATAAGGGAAATTCCATCAAGATCATGAAAAGACACTTACAGTAAACTCTGTTATCCATCAGGGGTGGGCAGTAGGTAGTTCTGTTAGCTAATAGAAAGCCTTACAGATGCTGTGTGAACTATCAGTTTTCAAAGTCTGAAAGAAACATGGAAATACACCAAAAAGTTGCTATAAATAAATCCTCTTTGAGGATTCCAAAAGCTTTTGCGTGAGTATTGCATAACAAATGAGAAATATGAAATTTCGATATTCTTTCTATTTGCTGAAAAAACAAAAGGGCCACTGTTGATTAATGCTATTGAAACACAAATAAGCAAGAACAACAAATACCACCAAATATAATTTGACTTCTCTCTCAATTCCCTTTTCCACATTCTCCCCTATTTCTGCTCCATACCCAAACCTACATTTGGTGAAATTTTTTCTCCTGTTTTTCTGGCTCCACTCCCCTACCTGCTAGGCTCAGTGATGGTCTCTTTGATGACATCATTTCCCCCCAAAGATGTGATCACCCCCATCTCAGAACTCTCACTGCACTTGGGTTTCATCTCCTCCCTTCAGGCATCAACTCTGCTGTTCTCTTTGGGATGCACACCTCTATCTGGTCCCAGCACATTCCGGTAGAGGAGGCTAGACACATATTTGGCCAGAGGATGTTAATGCTTTCATTTGGTTTTACTCTCTGGGTAAGAATACAAACATTTTACCATTTATCAATACTTTTACATTTTGAAAGCACAAGTTATGGCTCTCTAAAAGTCTGCAAGCATCTTGAGGGAAGGACCCCATCTAAGCAATTTACATTTCTGTCTCTAAACAGAAAGCCTGATATACAGTGAGGAGCAATTAGTATTTGTTGAGTTGAACTGAGCGTTAAAAAAAATAGCTTCATCCATTAAAAGACTAGCAGAATGCTGAAGTTGGAAATGTTCATCAAACTTAAATCCTTCATTTTTAACAGAAAAAAGTCATATTTCACACTGCAATGAGAAATAGTGGCACATGCAGTCTCATTTTGAAACTTGGATGTTTCCTTTAACAAAGAAATATCACTATCCTGCCATCTTTCAGGAATTTGTTGAGAGATCACTTTTCCATGCTGAATTTTTACAAATAGAGCTATCGATTCATTCAATAAATATCACTGAGCCCCAAATACATGTTGGGAGCTGGTGAACTTTTAGGGATACAGAACAGAAAATTGGGGACTATATATAAAGGAAGAAATAGGTTAAGAAGGTAATAAATAGGCAATGTGTCTTGAGTGATATAAAGAAGTCAGAATCATGACTTAAAAATAACAGTTCTTTAGAGAAGCTACTTGAAAATTCTGACTGTTTAAAGGAGATCGCTATTTGACTTGGAAGAGCTAAGTAAATAACCTATGCAAATATATGAAGGAAAAGCATTCTAGCCAAAAGTGATCACAAAGACTCTGCAACTGGATGATGCTTGGTGTTTTTGCAGAAGAGGAAAATAAGGACACTGCAGAGGAGAGGGGTGAGCAGGGTTGCAGGGGGACGGGGTGGGGGACTATAAGGCTGTAACAATAGCAGCGCTACAGATGTAGGAAGCTGTACCACACAGGAAGGCTTTAGAGTTTTCTCTGAGGAAGATGGGTCTTTTTGGAGAATGCAAACTTGGAGTGTATGGCATCTGGCCTATGTTTCAAAATCATCCCATTAGCATCTCTGTTGGATACAGATTAGGAGATGACTAGAGTGGCAGGCGAGAATGGGCACATGGAAGCCACCAATTAGGAGGCCCCGCAACATCTCAGAAGGTTGGTGACACAGCCAAGGTGGTGATCGGTGAGACTCTTAAGAAGCAAGTGCATTCTGAGATATTTTTGCAAGGACAATATAACTAGACTTTGCTGAAGGGTTGGATGTGGAATCTGAGGCAAAGAATGACGTGCCTCTTAACCTGGGCAACTGGAAGGAAAGAGTTGCCATTTAAGGAGACAGAGTAGAATTTGGAAGTAAGTTTTGGGCAGAGGGATATCAATAGTTATATTTTGGAGATACTAAGTTTTGAGCCCTGTTAGTCATCCAAGCAGAGACGTTGAATAACCAGTTAGGTATTGGCTGTTCGTGTAAGATTTTCAGCCTAGATTCACAAATATATGAGCTTCCAATGAGTAGTAGTTAAAGCTATGAGACTAACACATAGAAGAAAAAAGAGAGGAAGTGTAGTGGAGAAAGGAGAAGAGAGTTGTGAAGAACGGGCCCCTGGCATGATCGCAGAGAATAAAGCATCCCAAGCAGCCATCAGAGAGAAGGGATGGCCTTGGGAGGTGACGGAGAACAGGGGACGTGCACTGTCCTGAGCCAAGTTCAGAAAGTGTTTAAAGGAAGACGGATGATCTCCTAAGTGAAATGGCTGCTGATAAATTGAGATGGGGATGAAGACTGATCATGAATTTAGCAGCTGGCAAGTCATGGTGACCTTGACTAGAGCAATTTTCTTTCCAATGAGAGGTAAGATTCTGACTATGGTGAGTAAAATAAGACAGAAGAAATGGGAGCAACTAATATTAATCACTCTTCCAGGGCATTTGTAGTTAAAGAGAGCAGAGAAAGGCATGGTGGCTTTAAAAGGAAACCCGTGTATTTGTAAAAGCCACCCGCAGTGTATTTCTGTCTCCTGGGAGGGCAGCATTTACTTACGGAGCACCTTTGTGCTCCAAAGGCCAATCGGGCAGGCTCAAAGAATGTGCTATGATGGGCATTGCAGGGAGCTGATGGTCCACCTATGCATTGAATTATTAGATCTGCTTCTTCAGAAGCCCCGGCAGTGGCCTCTCACCCATTAAATGACTAAGCACCATCTGACTCCTTTTGTCTTACTGCTTGAGCCTGCAAGGGACACTTAGAGTCTCCAACTACTAGTACAGTGACAAAGTCTGCCGGAAAACTTGCAAGAACATGAATGTGCAGAAGTCAGGAACCCAAAAGTAATTCAAAATTATACTGTGAATGAGTCTCAGGGGGCTACCAATAAATGCGAACATGAAAAGGGTCACACATACAAATATACTCTCGACTCTTTCAGTCCAACCGCAGCAGCCTGGGATAGCTTCAATTGCCTTTATAATTTGCACAACGTATACTGAGAATATTTGATTCTTTGTCGACAAATATTTCCCTATCGAGCCTAGGGCTGGCTTTACAGCTACAACATTTTTAATTTTCAATTTGGCCACTTTAACCAAGGGTTGTAAGTCGGCAGGGGGTCACTCTATACCAAAGTGGAACTTTACTATTTAGTAAATTTCACCCAGGCACTTTCTGTTGAGTACCTAGTAAGACTGAATGTGCTGTTACAATAGTGTAAAGATACAACTTTTTAAAAAGTAGAACTTGCTCTCATAGAGCTCCCAGTCAAAGTGAGTGAATCTCAACCTGGCATGATCTTACTCCTCCACTCAAAGGGTGTCTGGCAATGTCTACCGACACTTTGATTATCACTATTGAAGATGGGGGTGCTACTTGTATCTTTCGGGTAGAGGTCAGGAATGCCACTAAGTATCTGCCAACACACAGGTCTGTATCCAACCCCAAAGAACTATCCCATCAAAAATGTCATTAAGTGCTAAAAGTGAGAAACTCTCAATTCTTGTCTAGGAATACCCTGCACGTGTAGATTTCCTTAACACAACGGAGGCTAGGAGGAGTAGCAGCCTCAGATTTCTGGGAATCTTTTCAGTTTATAGCAAGAAATCATCTTAGTGTCATTAGTTAGACCCTTCTACCAGCAAGTTTAAAGAACTGAGGATTATGCTCTACTGAGAACAAAGTTTCTACAAGTTCTTATGTAGGATTCTTGGAAGTTACAGGAATTTTGTGCATATACTGTCATATTCCAGCCTCACACAGTCCTATTGAAGCGCCTCCATTTATTTGCATACTAGTAACTGAAGAGCAGTTTTCCTCTACCTGGAAAGGCCATTCTCTCCCACTGAGAGGCAGGATTCTTAGCCTAGCCAACCAGAGTTGCCAGGTTGACCCTGACAGTCACTGCTAACAATGCTGCTTCTTCAACTGTCTTAAGGAAACAGAATCAGTGTGTCTCCAAGTTATATTTGGAAACTAAGGTTTAGTGACCTAAGACCTCACTACTCCTCACTTTCAGTGTCCTGACTCAGCCCCAGGCCTCTGACTCCAGACGAGGAATCTCTCCTAATGTTTCCCTCTCTCCACAGAAACAGTAGATATTAACACTCTTGCAGAGCTGGACAACCTATGTTGTGATTTCTTCATATGCTCTTGTTCTCCTCTGTATTTCTTTAGGTAGGTTTGTGGAAAGAGGTACAAGGTACATTTTATATTTAGACCAAAGGAGAGAAGAGTTGTCACCTGTATTTTGATCAGTCACATCTCATCTAGCTATGCTCATGCATAAACGTAACAGCAGCATGGAAACAGCCAGCGTGCATCAAGGGAAGTCAGACAAAAGCGATCATCAAATGACATTGCTCTATACTGATGGTCCCTTAAAAAAACTCAAGGAAGGGAGTTCAAGTACGGTAGGGCTTCAAATGACCAGTCTCGGCCACATGCTGTCACTTAAATACAGATGGTCAGGTTTTGTTTACGCATACGGAGCCAACTGCTTATATAAAGTGGTATCCTATACATATAAACCAGTAAAACCATTTCAGAACCCAGAGTTTGAAAGAGTCTATATAAATGTAAATTACCAACCAAAGGGAGCATAAAAATCTATATGTGTGAAAATGAGGCTGCTGTATTTCCTCATCCTGTTCCTGTTGGCCAGCCCATGTCCACAGGGTGTCCTTTTATTTGGGCAGCACTCCCACATGGATTTACCTGAGCTTCTGTATGCTAGTATTTCAGCTGGCTATTGCTGGATGACCAATATTTCCTCTGTGCTTGTTGTCAGGTAATCTCCAGATCATTAGTTGTCAGGTAATCTCCAGATCTTATGGAGCCACTGAGGTCCTCACACATCTCACCTGTCACCTTAGCACTGTTTTGATCTCTTGCACCCTCCAGCAGGAGTCTTCTGGGGTAAATTTTAAAAGTGGATTGGAGCTGGTTGGAGATGAAATGCTTCCGAAAGCTTTGTTAACTCTTTTACACCACTAATGCTTTTACTTGGGGGCCTGCACCAACCGTTCCCTAGGTGGGATTGCAAAGAATGAAGAAGCCTAAAATAAAGTGCTGCAAACCTGTCTTCCTCAACAACAGAGGATGCAGCTAACAGTGGGTAAAGAATTGATGGAGAAACAGAGGAGACCAGCAAACTGCTGGAAGCCCACACAGAACCTAGAGAAGAACAATCTAGCTAAATGAAATTGTTTTCTTCCTTCCCAACCACAGTATATTAATTGAGTACAAATCGGTTCACTTAACACCAATTGACACTAAGCAATTTACCATTTGATGGCAATTGAAAACCCAGGCTTGCTGCTCCAAACTCGCTTGATTGTTCCAAACAGATTTCCCATCTTAAAGTGGAAATGGATTTAATTTGATCTCTTCAGTCTGTTCACCATTCTGTGTGAAACAGTGATATTGGTAGCAAGGAAACTAGCAGAAACCCGAGCAGTGCAGTGTTAGAGATGAAGGCTTTGCAGTGGCTGGCAAAACTCCAAACAAGGAGTCGCGGTGTAGTTAGTGTGATGTATACAGAGCTGCGATACCGTGGTGTCTGCGGTTGTGGGGTTGTTGTTGCTCTTGCTGTAGTGCTGCTGCTGTCTCATTGTTTGTATTCATCTGTTTCCTTTTCTTTGCTGTTTCTTTAAAACCAAAGATGCTTAAAGTTGAGGAAATTCCTCAAATTCAACCTACCTTAGTTCTATCATTTCCATGAGTAAACCGAGATCTAAGGAAGCTACATGCCTTTTCCCAATTATTTCAAACTATATTACTCTCTTCTCATTCTCATGTCTTTTTTCTTATATATTACCCACCTTGCACCCTCCAAGGAGCCACCTCAGGTTCTGTGAGTGGAGAGGTCAGAGAAAGAACATGTAATCTTAGAGCAAAAGGCTTGGATGTACCTGAGTCACTGAATTTTCAAGGCTTCCGTTTCTTTATCAGTGAGGGTGATACAGGCCAGTGCTTTGCAGTACTTTTGCAAGGATTGAATGAACTAACACAAAAAAGGTGCTTTTAAAACTACAGAGAAATGTAAGATGCAAGACACTGACTGGAGCCCAGAATGGACAGAAGATGGGCTGAATGACTCAAAGGTTGAAGAAACAAACTTTAAGCAATTGACTCTAAGGACGATGGCAACCTAGTAATCTCCCCTTGTGCCTGAAATCAAAGAAAGATTAGGGATTAGAAGGCTGAAAACATTTGCAGATGTTTGGAACGACTGTGTTAACCTTTTGACTTTTTGGAACAAGTAACGTCGAGGGAAATTTGTTCCACTTGCTTTTCTTTTAACTAAGTCATCAGTATATTATTTGAAAATTTTGTAAACTCTAAAGCTTTATTCCGTAGAAATACAGAGTCTCTTATTTGAACAAAGAGGCAAACATGGCCTTACAAGCTTTTTCTATTGTACTGTACGGTGAAATGCATGTAGTGTGCTGACAGTGTCTCCAGCCCCTCATGAAAGTGTTTATAGAAATGCTCACCCAGAGATTTTCACAAATATGGGCAACAACAGAACAAGATAAATCCAGGTCATACTAGGAAAAAACTGGGCAAGAAACATAAAATCTTGCTTCCTGGTAGCTATGTCTCTTGGAGAAGGTCGCTTCACCTTTTTGAGTTTCTAAGAAACAAACAGATACAAAACTGTATACTGACCCCAATAACAATACTGACCCCAGACTTCAATGGGATCACAGCATCCAGATCTCAGCTCAGGTACGTAATCCTTATTCAGAGAGGTACAGTGGACACTCTGGTAGTCCACCCAGAGGCCCCTTTCTGGACTTAAGTACTATTTCCTCCCAGCTGCACCCTTTCATAGATGGCCCTCAGTGGTCCACTTCACCCGAGATCTCTTCTATCCCAGAGAAGCCTGTGTACAATACAGACTAATAAACAAATCTAAAAGCTGGCCCTCTGGCCCCAATTCAGGATCATCTGCAGGCAACCCAAACTTCTTTATGGCTTGGGAGGTTGAAGCTTTGCTGTGACTGCCTGTCACTTTGATAATAGCATTGCCCTGAAAAAGTTCCCACAATAAAATTTCTAGATATACAGTCTCCACCTTGGAGTAACTTTTCCAGGAATCCTGAATACTGTGGCTCTTCCTAGCCATGGTGGATTATACTGTGTAGAACCATCTCTATCCTGTTAGTCTTCTCCCTGTCTCAAAAGTACATCATCTGCAAATTTGTTGTCTGCCCTTCCACCATGATACTATGTATTTCATGAAGGACTTTGCGTATCTTATCTACTACTCTAGGTCCTAGGGCCTAGCATGTGGTAGGCACTCAATCATATTTATTGAATTAAAAAAGATGTTAACTTCTACTTTAGTAAATACATTGAACTGTAAAAATGTTAGTTCATATGTTTTGTAAGAATGCAATTTGTGCTTCAGAAAAGATAATTTGAAGATAATTGATACATATACTTCAAGGGAATCATCAACAAATTAATGAATTTTGCCTCAGTTGACATTTTTGTTTGCAGGCTAATAGCATGTTTATTTGACTGTTTCCATTCAGTATAAACAAACATAAAAAAACTTTTAAAAAATTAAACATAGTATGTTTATAGGAACCAGCTAATATCTTTCAGATAAACAAAGGAATCATAACTAGGAAAATAGCTATCGATAAAATGAACAGATTATTAGTTCATAATAGTGTGTTGGCATGAGAAAGGGTGATTTATGTCTCATTGCTGATAAGGTTCTGAATCATGAGAATTTCAAGTCAGGAGATCTGGGCTCTAATCCAATCTCTGTCTCAAATTCACAGTTAGGTCACCGCACTTTCTCTAGTCCTGAATATTCTCATCTGTGAACTAAAAAAGATGCCTTCTGTGGTCCATCTTACCTTTGAAATTTTATGTGTCTATGTTGACTGAATGCTGTACATCTGTGATACATGAATATCAAAAAAGACAGCATAAGCTATGCGATCATTTTTATACTGGAGAAGACATAAAATCTTAATCTATATGATACTTGTGATGAAAAGCAGACAGACTATATGATACTCCTTCTGTGACTGAGTTCAAAATAACACACTTATTTTTATGAGATTAAGAACTAAAAAGGCAAACAAGATTGAAGCCAGTGGGTTAGAGAATATATTGACCTTTGATCTGGAGGAAAAGATATGTTTTTCTGGGCCTTAGGATGAAATAGTTTAACAGTGATTTCACCTAAAATATTTTGAGAAATTCAATAATTCCCTTTTCTCAGATATATGGCCTAAAGGAGGAAGTATCAGACCCCAGATATTACTGTGTATTTTGAGTCCAAACACAGGAAATTGTACCTTTGTATTTTTCTCTCTTTGACTTTATGGCACCTCTCTCCTGTTCTCTTCCATCTACTCATCCTGGTTACTCTCACCTCCAAAGTTGCACCCTGTACCCTCTTTCCTGTGTATTTGTCTCAAATAACCACCTTCCACCTCACAGCTCTGACTGTGTGCAGGCCATTCCCATGGCATTATCTCTGGCCAGAACTTCTCAGCTTTTAAACCAAAACTCCTGATGGCCTACTGGACAATTCGACTATCTATTTCAAAATCTCAAACCCATATCTAGATAGAATGTAACCTATTCTTTATCAGTCTTTACCTGAAACAGCTCTGACTCCTCATTTGCCTCATTGGTTTGTAGTAGCCCTCAAGGTCAAGTCCTTATTTCTTTGCACCTTTGCACTATCTTTGGCATATGCCTTGTTCACACTGCTCCAGACCTGGTACAGACCTTGAGGAATGTACAGATTCAAAAACCTGCACGACTCCTATCACTATACTGACAGTGATACTGTTCTGGAGACTAGAAAGTACAAGATTGTAGCCCTATCTAGAAATAATGCAGTGTTTCTCCTTCCAAAATGATACCTGGCATACTTAACTCTGACAGGGAACAGTGCTGTGGTCTCACGTGATAGAAGGCGGAAGAGCAACTGAGCCAAGTTAACTGGCTCAGTTAACCCTTTAATGCACTTAATCCTATTCCTGAAGATAAACCCCTCATATCTCAGTTACTGCCTAAAAGCTACATTTCTCCTTACCATTTCATTGCAGATTACATTTCAACACGAGTTTTGGATAGGACACAATCATCCAATCATAATACCAATAAGAAAATAGTGATAAATTTTGTTATATTACATTAAAGTATCTGTGTACCTACAGACATAATTGGAGAGGCTATGGCAAAATCAAGAGGACATTTCAAAAACCATACGTGAAAGAATTGTCAAAATCAACCACTTGATGGCTCTGGAAATCAACTATGGGACAGATGATAAGTCGGGAAGAATTTGTCCCCAAAACCTACCAGAGCTTGGGGTAAGAACAGTAGACATATAATCTTTTTTTTTATTTTAAAAAGATTAAGATAAAAGAGGACATAACAAAACAGATCAGAACAGAACAATTTAAGCAAAATAGTGTTTCACCACAAGACAACCCAACATAACAGTAGCTACCATAGTGTCTCTTTCCTTGAAATATTTGAGTATACTTTCATATACTGTAGTATCAAACATAACAATATAGTATAAAACCATTCAAGAGAATGAAAGTATTACAGGGTATTCAAAACCAACTAACAGAAAATGAACAATGACTATATTATCTCCTTGTCCATAAAAAATTTTGTTTATATTATAACATATAATAAAATCCAATAAGATACAACATGATAAAACCGATGGAGACAGAAGAACAAAAGCTTGGTAGGACTTCAAAACAAGATGATATTAAATCAGCACTAGCTATTACAGTGTCTTGTTTTCTTCAAAATAGCTGTTCATACCATCACAGACAATAAAATCAAACAACCCAGAATAAAACCATTCCAACTAATGAATGAAAACATTATAAGGCTTCAAAGCAATATAATGAGGAATCATGATTACCACATACTTTTATGTATTCTTACCATTTCTTACACTAGGGAGACTATTCAGCATTTATACATGTGAGTTTGATTTATTTCGCTTATGAGTATGGTCTGAAGCTGCGCCCACTTATGACATCTAATCTTCTTGATGGAGTCTGCTTTCATCCCTTGCTACAGCTTTGTTAGTCAAAGACAGTAGTTTTTTTCAGTGCTGGGCATGCTGCAAAACCAGCGGAAGTCAGCTCAAGTAATCACGGTGGATAGAAGGATGGGGTGATGTGACAGTTGAACTATTTTATCAATTTGAATAAATTACACTAACTAAATCACCTCAGCATAGTTCTGGGTGTGGAAAAGCCACCCTAGGGAGGATTACCACCACAGTGCTATACAAAGGGGAAAACATAAGAGGAAAGATCCCTTCATCTTCCTCCCCAGGTGCTCTAGTCTTTGCTTTCACCTTGGACTTCATTCCTGGCTTTCAGCAGACTGTTTAGCCTCCAACAGAGAATGCTCACCTTCAGCTTTCTGGTACAGTCCCTTCAGCATCCTTATTTGAAGCTCACATGGGACCACCAGGCCCGTGACTGAATCCTTCAGATCCCAAGTGGGCAGACAGACCTTTTGCACTGTCCCACACCCAGCTCTGTGGGCAGCCATTGTAAGCCAACTTGTAAATTATAATGTATATTTGAATATCTTCTATCGTATCTGTGTGTCTCATAAACACTGACTAATGCATGTGAGGTTAAAAAAAAAAAAACATGCTTTTCCAGGTAAAAGTGGCAAATTCGGTAAAAAAGATATATGTGGAAACACTTTTCAATTTGTTAGTCCAAGAATGCAACCTAGTTGTGGTGACACGTTAGCCAAAAACTTAATGGGGAGATTCTGGAAATAAGAGAGCCATGTAACTGCATAAACTTTGCATACTAATCTCGGTGACTGGAAAATAAACATGTATGAGGAAGACCCCAAAAAATAAAAAAAGACTTGAGATCTCGTATGTCCAAGTAATTTCTGTACTCACACACTGATCAATTAGCAGGCACAATTTCTACCAAATCATTGACTGTTCAGTTAGCTAAACAGACACAGAGGTAACTTCCAGTAAGCTGGATTCGAAACTTGGGCAGATACATCAGTGATCAAACATTGGGAAATTTCTCAACAAACTCATCAACACTTGGTTTTGTTCATCTTTTTACTAAAGCCACTTATGTGGGTTATTGTTATATTATGGTTTAATTTGCATTTTATTATTGGCTAATGATGTTGGAAAATTTTCATGCTTTTATTAGCCATTCATACATTTTCTTTGGTGAAATACCTATTCAAATAACTCACCCATTTAAAAATACATACATTTTCCTAGAGATAAAATGGGTACAATCAGTTTCAGGTATTTTTTTTTCCAGTTTCTTTAAAAGTGAAGCATAGAAGTGACATACAACCCAGCCATTTCACTTTATGTATTAATACAAAAATATCAATCCAAAATTTTTACAGAAATGTTCATAGCAAAATTATTTATACAACTGAAAATTGAAAACAATTCAAATAGCCAAAAACTAGAGCATATGTTAAGTAGAAGATGGGCTAACCAAGAATGGAATGCCATTCAAAATTGAAGGGAACAAAATATTACCCACACCGTGGATGAACCTCCAAAACACGGGGCTAAAGGAAAGAAATCATATGCCAAAGAACACTATTGTATATCTTTATGTGACATTTCTAAAAAAAGGCAGCACTAGAAACTCAAAACAAATCAATAGCTGGCTGGGCCAGAAAATAGGAGCATATGGTGATCAAATTTAGGCAAGATTGGGGTGATCCAATACTCTAAAACTGGGTTATAATGATGGTTGCTTGATCACTTAAATTAACTAAAATGCAACAGTCTATTCAAGTTGAGGCCATGTAAGGTTTACTTCATTCAGCAGTGTTTAGATTTTTTAAGAAAAATTTTACCAAAGTAGGCACAATCTCTACCCAAATTATTTAAAGTCATTTAAAAAGCAAAAAATCAAATTACAGATTACAAGATATTTGGGGGGAGTTATACAATCATATAAGGATTAGAATCCAGATAATCTATGTTTTGGATACATACACACACCCTTACAAACCAACTAGAACTAGAAAACACAGGTTTATAAAAATTATGAATAAGGAATTCACCAAGAAAGAAGAGACAATAATAAACATTTAAAAACAATCTCATTGTAATGCAAAAATGCAAATTAAAAGCACAATGAAGTATCATGTGATATCAGGAAACATTTTTAAAAATTCTGATCACATCAAGTGTTAGCAAGAATACAGAGCAAGACAAATTCTTAATTCTGAGCAGAATATAAATAGATTCATCATGAAAAATTTGACTTACAGTGTTGAAGTTACACATTTTCCATGACTCAGCCATTCCATCATTCCATTTCTACACATACACACACACACACACACACACACACACACACACACACCAGAGAAGTATTACACATATTCTATAAGAGAAAGCATACAAAAGCATTCATAACAATAGCTGATTTTGTGATCAGAGACTTGAATTAAGTGTTGTCTAAACCATTTATTCCTTATGTGGTCTCAAACTTTAGCTCTTTTTCATTCATTAAAATGGGATAACTGTGCCTGTTTTGCAGAGATACTGTACAAATTAAAAGAGAAGAATGTTGGTGAAGAGTGTCACTCAATGTCTGACACTTAAGAAATTTTTAAGAATGGTATTTTCCACGTGTCTATGAATTAGGGAAATATTCATATTCTTCACTGATTGGAAGAAATTGCTTGACTGTAAGTAAAGGCACGTGTGAGGCGAACAAGTGAGCTCCTCCATTTTCTCTTATTCTGTGCTTTCCTAGAAGTCCATAAACCCTCTGCTCCTAAGAATTTGAATCCAGAAGGAGAAGGTATTGTCGTAGTCAGGGGTTGTAGACAGAGAACAACTAGGATTAGGATATGGAGTTCATAATATTTTTATAATGGTCACCAGAAGTTAACACAAGAAAACGCAGGAAATCTATCCTCAACACCAAAGACATAGATTATTTAGTCAAGAGCCTAAACCCCACGGCAATTGTCCCACATGAGTCCAGATAAAATCCAGAGCTCAGAACAATGCCTTCCACGAGTCCAACTGGAGGTCCAGAGCCCACAGTAAGGACTCACACCAGTCTCTTTTACAGATCCATGCCGGGAAGACCCAAGGGTCAGCAGTGGAAGCCAGAAAGTCTATGCCAGCAGGATGAAGGAGCTGTGCTAGTGGGATGAGGGTTCTCCGCTGGAGCCGAGAAGTCACACTCACAACAAAGAGCAGGGCTATCCTGAAAGGCACCACAGCCATCCTCAGTGACACGGAGGCCCCGAGCTCCTCCAACGACAAGCACAGTCGGATATGTGCCAGGAAATAGCGTGATGAGTTCATCCTGGAGACCAAGCAGCACATGTCTTCCTCTCCAAAGCCAGGAAGCAATGCTTGATGTGAGGACCAAAGCCTTTCCAGGAGAACCAAAAGCTCAGACAGCAACTCGTAGGAGAACCCACAATGCTTCCTTACCGCCTCAATCCTTCTCAACACCTCCCTTCTTCTCCACTTATTTATCCTGGCAACCCTCCTCAGGTGGAGCATCTTCTCTCAATGCATGCTGATGTAATCCAGCTGGCGTTAAGTTGACCACCAGTTCTCAGACCATAACAAGTATGTCATGGAAAGAGCAGGGCCAGGATGCTGACACAGTCACACGTGTAGGAAGCCATTGATCACTATCTTTCTCCACCTAGATCTCAATAGGAATTATATAAAGTTGGTCTTGGCCCAAACAGCACCTGTGTCATATTTGAATGCAAAATCACTAGTTTTTTTTTTAAAGAAAAAAAAATACAGAAAAGAAAAACAAAAATCAAGAGGCATACAAACAACAGCTACAAGAAACTCAAAACAATAATTATATAGGCTTTCAAAACAAGGTGATAGGAACTTAACAACGGTTATAATATAGTTATCTTCAAGAGTCACTTAGATTACCCCATATAAACTTGCAAAATTGGTCTAATCATATGAGTATTAACTGTTATTTTCCAAGAACTAATAGAATTGGTAGTATAATCATTTTAGATATTTTATGTATATATAAGCAAATTTATATCTTTTTCCTTTTTCTTCCCTTTTTTTCTCCTTTCCCCTACCCCAGTTTATTTTACTCCTTTGAGCATTTTCTTATCCTTTCACAGTATTTATTGTAGATTTTGGGTTTTATTTACTCTTTCCATCTCTTACACTACAGAGAAAGTGTAGTATTTATAGTATTTACACATGTGAGTCTGGTTTATTTCACTTGTGTATATGGTCTCAAGTCTTACTCATTTACCTATAAATCTCTCAATGTAATCCTTTTTTTTAATTAAGTAGTACTCTATTGTATAAAAACACCACATCATTTCCATCCATTGCTTGATAGGAACTTGGGTTGTTTCCACAATTTGGCTATTACAAATTGTGCTGCTGTAAACATGGGTGCACATATATCACTATGATATGATGTTTTCAGTTCTTCTGGGAATATGCCCAGAAGTGGAATAGCTAGGTCAAATGGAATCTCTAATCCTAGCTTTTTGAGGAGTCTCCACACTGAATTCCACAGTGGTTTCACCAGTCTATACTCCCACCAACAGTGGAGAAAGGTTCCTTTTCCCTCAGAGCCTTTCCAGCATTTGTTACTGGTTGATTTCTTGATCCTGGCCATTCTTTCTGGGATGAGATGGAATTTCAGTGTTATTTTAATTTGCGTTTCTCTAATGATCAGTGATGCTGAACATGTTTTCATATACTTATTTGCCATTTAAATTTCTTTGTCTGAGAAGTGTATATCAGTTACTCATTTTTGAATTGGACCGTTGAATTTTGGGGGCCTGATTTTTAAAAAATTCTTTATATGTTCTAGATAGAAATCCTTTGTCTGAGAGACAGTTACCTAAGATATTTTCCCAATTCATGGGTTTTCTTTTCACTCTGTTGGAGATTTCCTTTGACATGAAAAAACGTTTTAATAAGATGAGATCCCAGTTGTTGATTCTAGGAAGTATTTTCCATGCAGTTTGATTTTTGTCCATGAACTCTCAACCTACTCCTTTGTCATCAAGATTTCTACCTAATTTGGTTTCCAGCAGATTTAATGTTTTTGTTTTAATATGATCTTTGTTTAATATGATGTTTAATAAGATCTTTGATTCATTTTGACTTTAATATGTGCATTGTGATAGATATCAATCTAGTTTTAATTTTTTGTATATGGAAAGCCAGTTACTCTAGCACCACTTATTAAAGAGGCTATCTTTCAACCAAAGAAACAGGTTTGTCCCTTGTTGAAGATGAGGTAGCTGACTGTGTTTGTAGTTATGGTTGTATCTTCTAATCTATTCCATTGATCTTCAGGTCTGTATTTTTGCCAGTACCATGCTGATTTTATCATAGTAGGTTTGTAGTATAATTTCAAGTCAGGGATTGTGATGCTTCCTGCCTTGCCTTTGTTACCTAGAGTTGCCTTTGCTACTCTAGATCTCATCTGGTTCCGTATGACTTTTAGGAATGATTGCCTCTACATCTGTGAGGTATATAAATGGTATTTTGATTGGAACTGCATTAATCTGTATAACAATCTTAGGAGATGGCCATTTTCACAATGTTTGTTCTTCCTATACATGAACAAAGAATGTCTTTCCATTTTGTGAAATCTTTTTGCAAAATCAGTAGTTTTGAAGAGTAAATGTACTTTTATATGTTCAATGAGACACACTGACTCAAAATTAAAGATCATTTTAGTTTATCTTGCTAGAAAAGAAGATAAACTAAGAAATATTTTTTGACTTCACAATTACATGAGTGAAGTCAAAAAATGTTTTTGCTCTTTTACATTAATTTTACAAGGAAGCTTATGATAAATGGGTTTAAAATATGATTGAATTTAAGAGTATGATAGAATATCCTCTTGTTACAAATGTATGTAAGGTTACATCAGGCAAGTCTGAGTGAGTCTTAAAAGAATTGTCTGAAAAGACATTCCAGATTCCATTCAAATTCAAGAATCACGAGGAGCCAGCAGAATTTTGAAGAGAGTGGAATGCCCACTACTGGAAGGAGAGAACCTCAGGCTGTAATCCTGGCTTGGTCACCAAGTGTGACCCAAGAAAGCCAATTCACAGCTCTGTATGTCACTGTGAACTTAATGACCTGCTTCCTCCAAACCTGCAATTCTAGGGCTTGTTCCCTCGTTAAGACTCCTTATGGGATCCAAAAGCAAAATAGTTAATGCAGAGCAAAGCGGAGGAAACACCTGGGAGGGAAAGGTGGAAACTCCTGTCAATTTCTTGTTGTCTTATCTTGAACTCTTGCATTATTTAACACAATTGTGTTAGGTTTGGCTTTGTTCTGTCTTGTTTTGTTAGATTCTATGCTTTCAGATGGTAGGAGCAGCTATTTTGAATACAATGGGATATATTATGATAATCATGGTTTCCTATTATATTGCTTTGAAGTTTTGTAATGCTTTCATTCATTTGTTTGATTGATTTTATTCTGTTTTGTTTGATTTTATTATGTGTAATGGTATGAACCCCTATTTTGAAGAAAACAACACATTATGGTAGCCATTGTTGATTTACTATCATCTTGAAGTCCTACCATGCTTTTGTTCTTCTGTTTTGATTGGTTCTATCCTGTTGTGGTTTATTTGACTTGATTATATGTAATAGAATAGAAATTTTTTGAGGAAAATAAGGTATTATAGTAGCCATTGTTCATTTCCTGTTATTTGGTTTTGAAGTCCTGTATTCTTTCATTCTTTTGAATGGTTTTACACTATATTGTTATGCTAGGTATTAATGTGTGTGAAGGTAATGTCAACTATTTCGAAGAAAAGAGACATTATGGTAGCTACTGTTGTCCAGATGTCTGCTTGCGAAGTGCTGTGTTGCTTGCACTGTTCTGTTCTGATTTGCTTTGTTCTGTTCCCTTTTGTTTTATTCTCTTTAAAATAAAAAAAAAAACTTAAAAAGAATCTCTCGTTGTAAAATTTACATTCCAGTGAGGCAGTTTCTATTCCCTGGAGACAGAGCTCTTCTTCTGACATAGAAGTAGAGACTGGGATAAAATGAGGATAGGCTTCAGGGAACAATTAGACAAAGCAGAAGAAAGAGATACTTTAAAAAACTGTGTTTAATGGGGGTAGTTTCATGCATGTGAGATAATTAGTACTTTCACAAGTTCATGGTGGCTTAAGACTGGATACTTGTATTACTCATGTATTTTACTAGAAAAACGAGATATAACACAAGGTACACCAATGTATGAGAAATTACAAGATTGGCTCTCAAGGTCATTCACAGAGTCAGATGAGGAAGCCAGCAGAGGGGGTCTGCACAATGGAGAGCGAAGGTTTCCACCCAGTGTCTGATGTTCACTGCAGTGCCCCTGTACAAGTCCGAATCCAGAGGCCGGTGGGTCTGCGCTAGAAGGCTGAATTGTTTATGAAGGAAGCCGGAGTCTGCCCTGGAAGCCAAAAGATGACTTCCAAGTTGAAGGCAGACTGGAGTTCCTCGGAAGAACAGAAGCAGATCTGTCCTTCCTAACTTTCCCTTTATGCCATCCAGGTGATGCGCTGCCCAAGGGTGGGTCTTCTATACCCTGGGCTATACAACTGCTGAGCTGATTTCGTTAAACTTCTAAACTTCTCAAATTGACACAGTCAGCCAATACACCTGCGTGATGGTATGAACTCTTGAACGATCCAGCTATGTAACTTTGGATAAGTCCGTTCTCTTCTTTTTGTCTCCCTTTCTAAGAGGTAGAGGCCACAGGGGTCCTAGGAAAAATAACTTAATGCTAACTCTAAGGCTAAGGGTAAATAGCCCATAATGTGTGTATAAGCCTCAAGGGACTGGGAGGAACCGAGGCATGCACAGAAGTAGCACAATTTCCATTTTTGAGCCTTTCCATCCTCCAGAGAATGGGCCCCTGCCTATCAGACTTCCCAGACTGCCCTGGCGTCACCAAAGCACTGCTGAGAATTTCTCTACACAGCCCTGTTCCTAAATCAACTCCCAGGAGATTGGGGGATGGAGGAGGGTGCCAGTTTAAAGCAGGTCTGATATGATCCAGGACCTGATAGGGTTTCAGCTGCCTGCTTTCTGGCAAATTGCAGAGAAATTAAAGAGATTCTTGCAGAGGTTAAATGGCTCAAGTCCTAGGGAGGGGACGCTGTTGCTCAGAAACACAAAGACTAGATTCATCTTGTTCAAGAATTATAAATAGAACAGTCAGATTAGATTCAGCAGAGGAATGGGGGCACCATGAAGGAGCCAAGTTCTCTCTGAATAGAGAGGCAAGGCTCCAAAGACTCTGAAAGCCCTGAAACAAACATAGCAGACTTTCAAAGAGGAAAAAAGCAAAGAGGGGAAAGAAGAAAAACTTCAAGAAGTGAGCCCTTTCTTTTAACCCACAAGTCCTTCGAGGCAAGAAAGCAAAATCATCAGTTCCTGAAAGAGAGGTTAAAAGTAAATTATCACCCCATAAGGAGTCATTCACTGTAAAAGGAATGAAAATAGTTTACTGCTCTATGGAAAATGCAAGCCGCTTCCAAACTTTAGGTTAAAAACTTGGCAGAGGGAGCCTGGCCTCCCTGTGCGTGTGTCTTGGAGATGTTTATCCAGCGGATGGAGATATTGAGATGGACCTGGTTTTCAGGTTTGTTTTTCGTTCCACATAAGGTTTCCATCAGATGCAGTCTGCAAACTGGTGCAAGCCAGGAGGCTGCTGGAAGAGAGGCCCTGATTTAACTGCCATGAGCCCTGCCTAAACCAGAACGGCTGCTTGGTAAGAACAAAGCGATGGCACTGAGACCGATCTAGAGGCCGGGCTGGGAGCCTGTGGAAAGCCCACCGGCTCCTGACTCGGAAGACCTGCTTCCCGGGTCTGCTTCCAGGGTTTACTGCCATGTGGTCTCAGACAAGTCACTTCGTCTCTCTCAATTACAGATTCCCCATCTGTTTGCAGGGAGTCTGGCTTCCAATTACACCTTGAGATTGTTTTAGGGGAGTAATATAAAATATAAGTTCTTTGCAAATGCCATTGGTAGTCTGGGCAAAAATGTGCTTCAAGGGGCCACTAAGAGCTTTCTACAGAGCCAAAGACAATAATTTCTTCCAGTCTTCCCTCTTCTAAAAGAAACCCACAAAGCCAGTGAAGTATGGGCCCTAATAGCACAATTCACTGTTGAAACAGGTTAGGGTCTGGATTTCAGTTCTCTCGTTCAGTAGGGTGTAACATTGGAAATTTTTCCTTAAACTATTTGTACCTCGAGGTTCTTTACTATAAAATGGAAATGATTCTGGCTTCATGGGTTTGCTGTGAGGATTAATACAAGTGGAGGATATATAAAAACCACATAGCAGTTGCTTAATGAAGAGTGCCTGATTTACCTTCTCATTTATTTATCCATTTATTATTTTGGAGTGTTGGGGAATGAACTCAGGGCTTTCACTAAACTGTATCCTCAAGTTGCCTGGATTGACCTTGAACTTGTAAATCCTCTTGCCGTGAGTAGTTAAGTCCCCTTGAGTAGATTACAAATGTGCCTTTCCATGTACTATTTACAATGATGATGATTTTTAATTATCACCTTCTATCATAATATTTAAGATTATATATAAGACATGATATATAAGACAAACATAGATGGACAGAAAATGGCAAGCCAACTGGTAAACTTGGGACCCAAAATCATGGTATTGTATTCCATAGGTTTCCTTTTTTATTTCTTAAATCCAAGACTTTGAATGGAAGAAGTCAGAAATCTGGACATGCCAATGGGCATAGATTAAGAAAAGCCTTAACAACAGTCAGCTCTGTGGCCAAAGTATGAAGAGAGCAGCAGACTAGCAAGATAGAGAACTTTCAGAGAATGATCATAATGTTCTTACCAAAAAGGCAGAGAAATACTATGTCCTATGCCACCCATACTAGCAAAGGCAGTGAATAGCTTAGATTTCTGTCCCTGCTGGTCTACAGTGAGATGCCTCAACATATCCATTAGGTAATACCAGAAAAGAGCACATAAGGAGCTAGAATGGTTGTCCCTGCAGGTAGTTAGAACCCCTTTCCTCAGACTGTCAGTAAAAACCTCATGCAACTTCCACTCCTTACCCAGCAGTATTGACACACTTCTCCTCCTCACCAGGGGTGGTATCAGAGGAAGGATAGTATTGTCAACACTTTCCCATGATTCAGCTATAAAAAGGACATCTCTCCACAGTGGGATGAGAGTGACCAGATGTGGAGAAGTAACAAGGCATTCCTAATCCTCCCAATATGGAACTAGCAATGGAGACCCAGTGAGGACCCAGAACACCCAGCCCGATCAATTAAGAGTAGGAAGTGCCCCACTTGGACGTGCAACACTGGACATCTACTTCTGTCTGGCAGGTGACTCTCTTTACCCATTAGAGATGTGTCAGTTAAAGCAGAATGTTTAAGTAATATCAGCCTATAGCCCTGCCATGTTGGAACTTAGGGCGCTGGATAGCAAAGCAACCCGCTCATGTCCTTGGTAAGCAGCTATGAGCCTACCGGCAGGCGGGCTAAGAATCAAATATTCCATCCTCCACCCCGTTAGCAAATGGGAGCCAGAGGTCTGAGCATCTCTTGGGAGGATGACTGTATGCAATATAGCAAATATGGGGAATTTCCTTCTACCATCTCTATGTTGTTATCACTGTTTTGCTGTGTTCTGATTAATTGTATTGCTTTTTTTAGTACTCTTTTAATAGGTCTTATGATGTTCTGTATTAGGTTTGATTTTGTAATACCTGATTGAAAGGACAACTATTGTGAAGATAATGAGTTATACTATGGTACCTATTACTGTTATCCCAGTAACCTGCTGCGACATTTTGTACCAGTTTCACTGCATTGTCTTGATTGGCTTTGTTCTGTTTTATTCTGTTGTATTTTGCTACCTTCAAAATACTAATACAAAAAATAATAATAATATCAGTATATAATAACAGTACAAAAATTTTCCACAAGGATAACTAAAATAACAATTTAAGACAATATACTTAAGATAAATATGGCAGACCAGTGGAATAACTTGAACCACAAGGAGAAATACAATGTTGAGTTCTAAATAGAGTTTTACCTTCACAACAAAAAATATAAGGACCTCAAACTGAATAAAAAGAAGAAAATCAATAGAAGTCACTACCAATATCAAAATGACAGAGATATTAGAATTGCAAAACAAAGATTTTAAAGGAGTCATGATAAAAATGTTATGACAAATAATTACAAACACACTAAAAACAAATAAAAAATCCCAAATTCTCAACAATATAAGACATACAAAAGAACTAAAAGAAAATTTTAGAACTGAAAACAAAATTGAAATTAAAATTGAAATTAAAACTTATTAATGTAAATGGGTTAAACTCTTCAATCAAAAGACTCAGATTTGTACAATTGGTTTAAAACAAAAACCATAATTCAACTAATAGACATTGCCTAATAGACATTAACTTGATTTTTTTAATGTTGAGCTTTGCTATGCTACTCAGATTGGCCTTACTTTGCTGGGACTCAACTATATTGTCTGCTTCTGCATCCTGAGTAACTGGAATTGGAGATCATTTGACATACAAAAACACAAATAAGTTGAAAATGAAAGAATAAAAAAGATATTTCATGAAATCAGTAGCCAAACAAGAGTAAGCATGGCTATTATCATCAGACAAAACACACTTCAAATTAAATGGTTTTAGTTTTTTTAAATGCTTTATTAAAAGTTTCAATAAAAAATGTTATAAATTGTAAATATTTACACACTAATAACAGACTATCAAATTATGAGAAGCAAAATGTTATAAGATTGAACTGAGTATAATACAGAGGTCTACAGTAATAGTTTGAGATTTTACTATTCCTTTCTCAATAATGGATAAAACCATCAGAAGATAAGTAAGGAAGTAGGGTAATTAAATGACACAATAAGCTATCTAAACTAAC